TTTTATGTTTGTTTAAGGTCATTTTGTTGTTGGGGGTCATCTACCCCTTTGCATGCTTCATTTTGCCTCGTTTTGAGTCATGCATTAAGGCCTTTGCATTGACCTTTGTTTGGCCTTTTAGCCACTGAAATCCAGTGGATTTTCAGTGGCTAGCATGTTGTTTTGAGAGCCAAAATCAGAGAGTGGTGACCCTCTCTCTCATTGTTTTGTTTTCTAACATTTTTGGCCTTACAAAGGAGCCCTTATTTGCATGTTTCCAAGCCTTATTTCAGGCCATTTTTTGTGGGTTTTAGGACCTGCATAGGCTCTGTCCAAAGCCTTTTTTTCCATTTTGGGTGTCCATCTTGCATATGTAGAACAACCCTCCTTATAGCCTATCAAAGGAGCCTATCATTCTTGCATGCATAGACCATGTTTCAGTGGGTCTTTGGGCTTTATTTGGCATGTCATACCTCTGACTTTTGCTAATTTAGTGACCTCTTGAATGCTTTATATACTTGTAGTGCAAATCCTCTTCACTAGTTTGTATTGCATCCTATTTTGGTCTTTGATTCTAGCACTTTTTGGCCATGCCTTAAACTGATTTTGTGCATGTTTTGGACTGCCTTAGCTCTGTTTTTATGCCTCATGGTCGAATGATACTTGCTATGCATGGTTGTAGTTCAATACCCTTACCTAGCTTTGAGTTTTGAAGCCTATTGCATGCTTATGTTGAAGTGTTTCCATGTTTTGGGGCCATTATGCGTCATATTTCAGAGCTTACATGTATGTCATATTTCCATGTTTTCCACTCTTTAAATGCGTTTGAGAGTCGTGCTTGTATGTCTCGTTTTTGGACCATTACATGAGCTTCATTTCCGTGCCTTTCGAGCCATCATTTTAGACCATTTTCCCACTGTCTTGGACCTGCCTAGGGTTTGTTTGGGGTTGGTTTTGCCATTTGTACATTGCTTTATGTACCTCTAGTGTAATGTGCTTCACTAGTTTTGATATTCGGGCCATCTAGCATGCATTGTGTGACATGTTTGCATGATTTGGGACCATCTTGCATGTCATTTCAGAGCTGGAAAATGTGTGTTTGTATGTCATATTTCATCCCTTGCCATGCTTTGATAGAGTTGCGTTTGGTGCCTTAGGTTTGGTTCCTTGCATTTGTGCACGTTTGCATGTGTTTTGTTGCCTAATTTCATCATGTTTAGCCACTGATTTGAGTGTGGCTGAGGCCCATTCATTTTAGTTTAAGTTCATCTTGCATTGTATATGCCATTTAGTCTATGTTGTTGCATGATTGACCATTGCATTGTGTATGCCTTGATCGTTTCATTATTAGTCTCCATGTGTGCATTGCGTGCGCCATATAGTTTTCATGTATCGTAGCATTGTGTATGCTAATAGCATGTTTGCATATCATAATTTGCATATTTGCATCATTTAGTAGCATTATGTTTAGGTTGCATATTAGAGTTGCATTCATGCATGTCATGTATATTGCATTGTGTTTGGAATAGGAAACACGGGAAACGAGGGATGTTTCGTAACTCCAAGTGACGAAACGTGCCTCGATTCTCGGTCGTCGACACTCCGGATTACCCATGATGGAGTTTAGGCCTTATTGTGTTTACATGTGCATTTATTTTACATCAAGTCGTGCAATCTGACTCCTCGGCCATCGTGCATCGAGATGTGTGATTGGTGCCACGAGGATCGAGGACTACACTCCCTAGAGCTTATGCGATAACGGGGAGGGTGGTCGTGCATATATATGTTGAAAATACTTTGCCATGTCCCTTTCTTGCTCTCTATTGCAGTAAACCGGAAGCCAGCAGCAAAAACTGGTCAGCAGCCTTCTGGAGTTTTGTACAATGTTCTGGGACCAGTTGCAAACAGAGGCAAATCGGGGCATTGCGATGGATTTTTCGGCAAGGCAACTCGAGCATGCATGCAATCCTTATCATTCAAGGCCAAGCTGAGGCAGTCCATTTCATATGTTTTGCATGCTAATTTATTTATCTTAGTTAATTTGTTAATTAATTAGGGTTGTGTAATAATTAGCTGTAATTCGTTATTCATTCGGTTGTGTATTATTTATTTGGACCCTCCGAGGAGGGTAATGTTGTAATAAGTGTGCGTGTGTGTGATGTATGTCTTTCAACCCCACGTCTTTCTCCCTTTTATTTACCAGCTTATTATGGTTAGATTAGGGCATGTTTCAATTAGCATACTTATGTTCGCATGTTTGCATTCATTCATCTGTCTTGCATGCACTGGCTCGGCGCATCATGTTAACTACATTGTATTTCAATTCCGAGTTGAATACATGTTATCTGTAGCATTTCATATGCCATTCTTAGGATAGCCGAGCCTATTCCTAGTTGCATTCTTGCATGTGTTGCATTAGACATTTCAGCATAGTTAGGATTCATGTATGTTTTCTAATTAGCTTCTTTCTTTGGCTCAGAGTACTCGGTAAGTGTTTATGCTTTAGCATCCTTGCATGCGTGTGAGTGACTGCCATGATAGCATGCTTACTATGAGGCTATGTGCTTATGTGATATAACTGCCTGAATGCCTGTGGGTGAATGTTTGATTACTTGAATTGGAACAATTCATTGATTACGAGTTTTAAGCCCACTTGAGAGTGGCAAATCACCCTGTTTCTTAAGCCCACTTGAGGGTGGCAAAATCCGAATCTTAGCCTACTTGCAAGTAGCAAACAGTTTTAAAAAACAAACATGAGATGTTTTGTTCCAATTCAGGCGATCTAGTCTATACTTGTATGCTGTGCGCATCATATAGTAATTCTAGGTTAACAAACCGGAATAAGAGCACATATGTTTTCAAAACAAGATATTATGCTTAGTAGTGGCCGATCTTTGATCTGGCAAGCGAGGGTGCTCATGAAATGACCTTCCCCAATCGTACCCAAGTTCCCGAGCCGAGGCAACTTTGGTGATGACGGACACGTGGCCTTAGGCACGAGTCATGGTTTCCTAAATTCCCCAAAAATAAAATATTTAGGTGGCGACTCTGTACCTGGCAAAGCAGTCTATGTTTGACAGTCTTGCATTGCACTTTGCGAGATCAGATTAAGAACCGTGACATTTTGAGTCCGAACTGTAGTGAGCCTAATGAACAAAACGGGATTCCTCCCGGGACGTTCGGGGACGTCTACAGGAACCTATCATCGCCCCCACCCCCGCCCCTTAATGGGGATCGGGTTTCTCCGACCTCGAACATTCCCTGGCAAAAAAAAAAAAGCTTCAGAAAATACAACCATTCATCATCATCAACAATAACATCAACATCATCATCAACAACAACAATAACATAATAATCAAGAACAAAAGCAAAAAACCTTCATCAACAACAACATAAACATCATCATCTTCATCAACAACAATATCTTCATCTTTATCTTCATCTTCATCTTCATCATTTTCAGATCTGAAGATAAACACATGGAGGAGCCGGCGCCGACGCAAGAGAGAGGAACGGCGGTGAGAGAGGAGCGGCGGTTGTGTGTGAGAGACTCTGCCGACGCCGAGAGAGAGGAGCGGTGGTGAGGGAAGAGCAGTGGTCGTGTGTGAGGCAAAGAGAGAGGGAGGCGATAGAGAGAGGAAATGGAAAGAGGGAGGCGATAGAGAGAGAGATGCAGTCGATAAAGAGAGAGAAAATAGAGGCTGTTTGTTTTGTGTGTGACAGTGAGTCACCAAACCATAAACACATATTTATATATATATATATATATATAAATTGAGGGGGTAAATGGGGTTGGGCTTTGTGTGTGAGAATGGGTCACCTAACCATAAACACACACACGCCGGGGCCGGGCCGGGACCGGGGTCGGGACGGGGTTGAGACATGGCTGAAAAATGTATCATCGTCCCTGGCTCAAATATCATTGGAGATTTATTTTTGAATACCATCCCCGTCCTGTCGGGAGTATATTTCGGGGAAAAACTGCTCAATTCGGGATCGGGGGATTGAGTCCCCGTCGGGCCGGGTTCAAATTGCCATCCCTACCTCCTTGTCATATTCCATTACTGCTCTCTATTTATTTTACAGTATTTATTTACTTCTTTTTTTTTGGTAATAAAGAGTATTATATAAAGTTAGAAGGAGTCAAATACTATCATATGATAACACACTAATCCAACAACACAAACAAGAACACTACAGAGAGACGTGTGTTTGAGAAATAAGTGGATTTGAGGGTAAAGTATGTGTACATAGTTATGAATGAATGATGTAATTGTAATTTTAAGGGTGTGTATTGAGAAAATTAGTTAATAATCAAATTAATAGGTGTGTGTATTGAGAAAAGATTTGTTTTGAGTTATTTAGGTGTGTGGGAATAGAATTTTACCCTTTGTGGTTGCTTACTCCACACAGCAAAATTCCATTTATAATCTTTGAAGCAAAATTCCATTTATATTCCACAAAGCCCATACTTATACATATATTATGGCTCCGTTTGGGAAGAAAAAAGTCAGGCTTTCTTGGCTAAAATAGTCACAAAAAACAAAATAGGCTATTTTAGCCACAAAAAACAAAACATCAAATCTAATCCATAATCATTACAATCCTCTCTCACAAAAAAAGCCATAAAAGTCAAAAAGTATTTCCCAAACCAGGCTAAAATAGCCCAGACTAAAATAGTCAAAAAGTCAAAAAGCCAAAAAGCCAACCCACTTTCCAAACGGAGGCTATATAATTTTTATAGTACATAAAATGTAACTAGGGTTCGGATTGCTTGAATTACACACAACTTCTATCCAGGCCCAGTCCTAATTATAATTTGGACATCAAAAATTTATCCAAGTCTATTCATATTACAAAATACTATTGCCCAAGCCCTAAAAAAACTCAAGTTAGACACAAATTACTCTGGTTGAACCCCGTCTAAATTGCACCCGTACCAAGGGGCATGTATATTTGTTTTGTTTGGTTTTGTTTTAGTTTTTGTTCGTGTTTTATATATATATTTTTATTTTTTAAAAAAACAATGCATACCGTCTTCACAAGGTTAGAGAGAGATAGGCCTTCCCGTACAAGTGCTACTCTAGCAGAAGAGAGATACAGAGAGAGATGTTTATCACTCATCTTCAAAGATTTCACTCCTACTTCTTCCCCATCTTGACTTCCCAACCTTGTCTCTTCACCCAACTCTTCTTTTTCCCCAAGCCCAGACTACCCATCTCTGCCACTCTCTTCTCCACGCCCAAAACCAACCCAATCTCTCACTTCTCTTCAACCCCAACCCTTCCCTCTCTTCCCAAACCCACAAAGCCTGAAACTTTTTCACCCCTAGAAGAAACCCACCTCGAAATCCCCATCGAAAAGCTATTTGTTCCTCCAGAAACTGACATTTCATCCCAAAACTCACCACTCAGTACTAGAATTTTGAAGGGTTCGAATATAGTGCTGAGCAAGTATGCCAGAGATGCTCAGGTCGTGCAAGCAGAGTTTGTGAAGAGCAGTGTGAGGACAGAGGATTGTCCCTCTGATGGGATTCCGGAGTTTGCACTTGTTGGGAGATCAAATGTTGGGAAATCATCACTTCTCAATTCGCTTGTTAGGCGGAAGAAGTTGGCCCTCACTTCGAAAAAACCCGGTAAGCAATGCGGTTCAATCCCGTTTTGTTTCAGTTTGTCATTTGCATTGGCTTCTATAGGTGATGGGTTTATAAGGATTTATTGAAATGTTCAAATGTTTTTTGATTTGGGATTGTTTTAAGATTAGTTTGGGTGGGGTTGAATATATTATGGTTGATGACCAAGAGACATCCAAGGGCGATTATGATGTTTAGGTTTGGTGAGAGATTGTGGGGTGGATGTTGTTAATAAAATTATCTAGGATAGAAAAGAAAAATATTTGTGCAAAGGGGAAGATTAACTTTGATTAGAAGTGTGTTTTCTAGCTTGCTTATTTATTTTGTTCTTGTTTACCATTCCTTCATTGGTGACCAAGAGACTTGAAAAGATGCAAAGGGACTTTTTATGGGGAGCAGAGGTGGCTCAACCATAGGGTACTTAGGCTGTTGGCCTTAATAAAATTTTGAAAAATTGTTATTGTTGAAAGCCCTAAATTTTCAGACACTTAGTTAGATAAGACCTCATTTTGATATTTAGTCTAGAGCCACTATTGATGGGGAGGGTTGGGGGAAGATTTCTTATACCATTTAGCAGGTTGGCATATGGTTGGGGGGGGTTTGGAAATTTTGGGGTTGGAAATTTTCAATCAAGCTATTTTGGGCAATTGACTTTGGAGGTATGCTTATGAGTAGGATCTGTATTGGAGGATGCAGGTGTTGTCCAAATATGAGCCTTTGGGGGAATTGGACAACTTTGTAGGTTTCCATTCTATATGGAAGGGCATTAGAAAGGCTTGTATACATTAGGAATGGAAATGGGGCGGGGCAGGGCAGGGGATTACACTCCCCGTCCCCGATCCCTGAAGGCACAAAATTCCCCGTCCCCATTCCCGATTCCCGGCGGGGAACCCATCAGCCCCAGCCCCCACCCCCTAATGGGGATCCCGATCCCGAAAAATTCCCAAAACTATTTTTTTTTTCCAGATCTGATACTGGAAGGTGTAGAAGAGAAAAAATATCATCTGAAGCACATAGCATCCACTTGGGATCATAACAAAATGCCCCAAGAACAACCGATTGGAAAATGCATTTGATCAAGCTACAATTTTGAATTGTTAAACAAGTAAATGAGCTTACTTTTTCGTGCTTGAAAAAGAATTTTGCATATCACAGAGATCTGAGAGGGGGCGGGGAAAAAGAAACAAACCTCTCCTCCAAAGAATTCTCTTATTTATTACTATGAACTAACTGGGGACAATGTAAAAGAAATCAAGATAAATTTGATACTCTATTCTTTTTCTTTTTCACTAATTTTTTTTTCCTAAAATTTTCTTAGCAACCAAACAAACAGAGGGACCAGAAAAATTGAAACCTAGAGGACCAGAAAAATTTGTTCATTACACACACACACACACACACACACACACACATATATATGGACGACAGATCTGCTTCTTGACCAAATAGATGAGTTGCTTAGATTTCTTGGAGGTTTGCTGCTGAATTGAAGAAGACTAGCAATTTTCTAGGTATTGAAGAAAATTACTAGATTGAGATCAGACGGTGGAGACGAAGCTACACTGAGTTGACGACAAAAATTTCTAAAGAAATGGAGAGAGAGAGAGAGAGAGAGAGAGAGAGAGAGAGAAGATGGAGAGGCTGGTGTCTCTGTTGAATGATTGTGTAATGTTTTAGGGTTTGTTATATATATATATAGGGGTAAAATGGTGATTTTACTTCGGGGACAAACCAGGGCGAGGGTGGGGACTGGGACGGGCCAGGGATGGGGCTGGGACACTTATCACCGTTCCCGGCCCAAAACTGATTGGGGATTGATTTTTGAATATCATCCCCCGTCCCATCGGGGGTATTGTTGGGGAAAAAACTGTTCAAATCGGGGTCGGGTCCCCTCCATCCCTAGTATACATTCATGGGTAATGCTAGATTTAGGGTGGGATGGTATAAGGGTAAAATTTTGGTATTACTTCTTGTTTGGGGATGATAAATTTGAGATGACATTCCCAACTCTTTTATAATATTGCTTTGGATCGGGAGGCTTAAGCAACAACATGGTTCTAAATCATGGTATTGGGAGACATGGCAGTAACGATCTTGGTGTAGTGGTAAAATCAATAATACACATTTATATTATGTTTTTCCTTTAGGTTCTTACAAGCAAAATGATATGTAATCTTTGATCCCTTTTCAAAGAGGCTTATACATTATTGTGTATCATGGCTTTTGTCCTCTGCTACTAGTCCAGTGTTGTCAACAGTGATGCCACTTACGTATATATATATAGATATATATTTATAAAAAATCAGCAAGGTTATGCTAATTTTTGAAATATAAAATAATGTATGAGAGAAGTTTTAGAACAAGACGAGAGTTGAGGAAACCGTAAAAGTAATTTGTTGAGGAGATAAAGTTGTTGCATCATTTTTTGTTGCTTGTTGACCGAATTGCTTTGTCCAAAGATGTCCAAGAATCTCTCAAATTAAAATTGAGTCCCTGTAACAATATATTCATGCCTGATGAAGAGATTTTTTTATGGAACCTTCTAGTTCGGTTGGGCTTAAACTTTGAACCTTCAAATCGTCATTTCTCATTTGCAGATTCACTAAAATTTTAATGAGAGAACCTCTACATGAAACAAAAAGTTCAAAAACATAATGTTAGATTTTGTAGCCGTAATACTTTTGTTGTCTTGCTTGATGACTAGATTGTTACTTTTCTGTGAATCCCCTTACATTGTCACTTGTTAAGGATTGAATTTCATTTATTTCATAGTGATGTCAAAATAAAAGATACAAGGAAGTGTGCTTATAACTTCGTTCAATTAACTGGTTTTCTTTTTTATCTGCTCTTATAATTCTGTGGAATGAAGCAAAACTCGGTATTTATTTCTTTTTCACTTGCAGGAAAGACACAATGCATCAACCATTTTCGGATCAATGATAGTTGGTACCTAGTCGATTTGCCAGGATATGGGTATGACTGAGACTATGAATTCTATAATTGCTCGGTTCATTTAGACTGAAATGGGGACATTTGCAATGCATGTGGTCCTTATCCCATCTTGTTATTTTTCTTCTCTTGATTCAGTTATTTCCCACTCTGTGTTAGTTACCTAGTTTTGTTAGAAAGCTCTCTCATGCTTCAACATATCGAAAGACATAGCAAATACAGGCCAAATGTACTAAAACATCTACTCATTTTGTATAATAGAATAGAATATGGTAGACATGCTTACTGAAAAGAATTACATTTTATTTAGGGTAAATTACACCGACATCCTCCGAGGTTTGGTAAAAATACAATAAGCCTTACATGTTTAACATAATTACATTGAACTCCCCTAATGTTTAATTTCACATGACACTTAACTCCTTTTTCATTAGAAATTCGTTAGTCATATGGATAGAAACATTATGTTAGTCGTCTCTTTTACACTATTTTACATTATTTATCTTTGTATCTAGGCACTATTTGCATTAGTTTTAGTTCCTTTAACCTTGCTAAAAGGGAGGTTAGTGTAATTCTTCGAAAACGTTGGAGTTTGTGGTATTTACTTCAAACCTCAAGGGAGGTAAGTGTAATTTACCCTTTTATTTAACTAGCATTTAGTGATTAACATGTGCTGGTGTCTTTACAAATTTTCTCAAACCTTCGGGGAGTGATAACTTCTCTTTAATCACGGGATTTGTATTTTCAGAGGTCTTTGAGTATTTAAGTTTGCCTGAAGTAAATCTTAATATGTCTTTATCTCTTCTCTTTTCCCCTATTTTTGAGTTATGGTGTGAATTACAAAATTTTTTACTACTATTCAGAGGTATAAAGTTTGAAGAATTTTAATTCTTTCATTCCAAATCAAGTTCTTGAATTTTCCCAATTTCTGGATATGAATTCTATATACTTTCCAATAGGGTTTGACTTTTCCCCTATGCCAGTGCTTCTGTGTTGACATGTATTTCGTATGCCAAGATATGACTTGAGATGCATTCTCCAGCCATATTTGTACTTTTGGTGTGTGAGAGAGTGAGAGCGAGATTTGAATTCCGGCTGATGTAATTTATAAATATGGTTAATAATCAATATCACATTTTTCCAGCTAATTGATGCCTAATTTATAAATCTGGTTAATAATTAATGTCGTGTTTCTTTCTTTCATTTTTGGTGTTGCAATCATATTATTTTATTGCTTTGAAATGCCAAATTAGCACTATGCAATGAAGTTTTGTTGGTTCAAATTCTCTCCGCCCTACCAGCTTTTGTGAGTTGGGTTTTTAAAGTATTTGATGTTTTCAAATGGTTATGACTCTAAAACATGTATCTAACAGGTTTGCAGCGGCACCACATGAACTTCGAACCGATTGGGACAAGTTCACAAAAGACTATTTTCTAAACCGATCAACTCTGGTCTCTGTATTCCTCCTCATAGATGCTAGCATTCCTGTAAAGAAAATCGATCTTGAATATGCAAGTTGGTTGGGTCAAAATCAGGTGATTTCTTTTCTTTGTTGCTAAGTTCTAACACAAAAGATCCAGCGAGTTTCCTTTTATTACTTGTATATGGATGGTTTCAAATGCTGTTCAGATTTTATCAGATTGTATTAAGCGATGTTTGGGAAACCAACAAAAAAAAGTTAGTTGTGCATATTTATGGTCTGAATCCACAAATTTGTTCATGAGCACTTTGAGTTCGTTTCGTGACATTTTTGTTTACAATTTTCTGTTTACTCGTTTGGTGTCTATTTTCGTTTTAAAAAAATTGTAAACAATAAACAAAATTTACTAAATCCTTGTATAAAAAAAAAAAAAAAAAAAAAAACCAGAAGAAAAAAAAAAAAAATCTCTTCCCAACCCCTCTAGCCACCATTCACCGCTCATCACCATCATTGGTCACCACCACTTCTACCCACTGTTGCCGGTGGCTGCGTCCAGCTGCCGCCAACCACCTTCCATCAGTGGCAACTACCTTTGGCCACCATCTCTTTCCGGAAATTACTTTCCGCTACCACCTCTGTCGGCCAACAATCCCTCCAGTGGCCAACCCTCTCTCACTCATTTTCAAAACAAATTTTGGAAACATTTGTATATTTTGTTTTCTGTAAACAAAAATTAGTAATCTATAAACGTTACCATAGGACACATTTATATGCTAATTTTCACGTCAAAATGATGACGATTGCATGGAATTTCATTCCGGTGCTGAGTTTGTTTTTCTTGAAACAGCCAAACAAATAATGCCCTATGAATTCAGTTCCCGGATAGCATCTTGATGTTTAATCATTATTTTGTCTAATTTTTCCTCTCATTGAATAAAGCTATGAAATTAAAGATTCAGAGGCTAATTGTTTTTTCTTTCAGATTCCCATGACGTTGATCTTCACAAAATGCGACAAGCGAAAAAAGAAGAAGAATGGGGGAAAAAGACCTGAAGAAAACGTGCAAGATTTTCAGGAGTTGATACGAGACTTCTTTCAAACTGTACCACCTTGGATCATGACCAGCAGTGTCACCAATCAAGGTCGAGATGAGATACTATTGCACATGGCGCAGCTACGAAACTACTGGCTCAAACATTAAGAAATATTTTTTTGACTCTGCTATTGGGTGAGTTAACATTCAAAGTTCTCCTCTTTCTTCTAATGCTCCATTAGTTTCATGTAAAACATTTTTCAGATTTTTTTCTGCATTTTCCCAAGTTCGGCTGCCAAAAGCCTTTAGGGGTAAAATATTTTACACAAACTGAGAGAGAGAGAGAGAGAGAGAGAGAGAGATTGATTGATTGATTGATTGATTTTGTTTCTCTCTCTAGTTCGAATAGAACGAAGCTGGGCCTGACCTGAGGAGATTAACTTGACCTCTCAATCTCAGCGTAATTCACGACTGTTTCACTGAACTTTACCTATGCATCATCCTCAAACTAAATTTTATGTTCTTTTGCTTCTACGTAACGTCTGTGTTGTAGCAAAATTCTTCTCTGAAAAAAACTTCTTTGGTATCTTAACCAAACACTGAATTTTTTTTTCTTTATAAAAAGATTTCTGGTGAGAGAGATAATATATATCTATTTTTTTGGGTTGAAGATGAAACTTTGAAAGAAGTGAGTATTTATCAGCATAACCTAGGTCTTTGAATTTGATTCACAATAGCTGTAAATCGATAACAATTTTGTTGGAACTTCAATCCACTTTTGTGCCCACAGGACAGGAGAGATAAAATGAAGAATGCCTTCGAGGGTGGATAGGAGGGAACTGCCAGACTCGAGATGGTTGCTGCCATTGCGAATCTGCAATGCAAGTTTTTGATATGTTTTCACAGAGATGAAGATTAAAACCCTAGCAGAAGCTGGTGATTGATAGCCTATGAGCCTATTATGACTATATGCAAAAATCTAAAATTTTGGATGTTTAATAGCTGTGTAATTTTTCAAAAGCTACCTTCTGATTATATATCGTTTGTGACCTTAGAGCATCTCCAACGGTGAATCAGATTTTTCATCAAATCTGAGTCAAAAATGACTCATTTCACCAAATCTGGTACCAGATGCTCCAACGGTTCACCTTTCACCAAATCTGTCCCGGAACAACCGGGTGGTTGACCGGCTGGTCGACCGGTGAGTGAATTTTTTTTTTTTTTGAATTGTCTGAATCGTTTTTGTTGAACTTTCTGAACTTTTTCCGGGACGACCGGCCGGTTGACCGGTTAGGGAATTTTTTTTTGAACTGTTTAAACTTTTTTTTGAACTGTTTGAATCTTTTACTGGTTGACCGGTTGGTCAACCGGCCGGTCGACCGGTTGGTATCACCCCAACGGTCAGTAACAGTGATTTGGTGAAATGCTTTGCCTGTTCTCAGTTTGATGAAATGTTTGGTGAAATCTCATTTTGATATCGATTTGGTGGAACCGTTGGAGCATCAAACAGTAAGTTTTTCACCAAATTTTAAATTTGATACTGGGTTTGATGAACCGTTGGAGATGGTCTTAGGAAATCCACTTTAATGCTGTGTACATCTTGGATATATTTAGGTTATTTGAATCTTGGTTTTTGGAAAAAAAAAAAAAAAAAAAAAAAAAACGGGGGAAAAGGG